CACTATTAAATAGATATTTTTGCCTTTGGGCTTATTTTCTCCACTAAAGCGTTATCTCTGCTGTACAACATGTAAACAAACAGCGCCGTGTGATGAAGTCATCGGCCACGGACTGGTCTGTTTGTGCAGGTGTGAGTGCGAAACATAAGAACCCTACACAATCGTGCTTGAGCATGGCACAGTTCTAAAGTCCCAGTGCAAGTGAGCCCTAAAGCTTAACAAAGTTTATTTTGGGCTATTTTTTATAGAAATAAGTATATTTATTTAATTTTTTTCAAATATAGAGATTGTAGAGCAGCTGGATATATAGTTTATTTTGGATACATTTATATTTTTCTATTCCTTATTTCATGTTCAAAGTATATTTTATTCATTTTAAGTTTTATACATAGCGAAACTGCTCTAAGGTACATATTTGTATTTTATTTTCAATTTGAAAGTTTTGCATAAATTATCAATAACAAAGTGTTTTTTTAAGAGAGAAATGCTGAATAAATGCAATGTAAGTAAAAAAAAATATCATTTGAGTAATCGTGATTTCAATACTGACCAAAAATAATATCGTGATAATGATTTTTTTCCCCATAATTAAGCAGCCCTACTATGCACATTTACAGAGGGTTTGACAGGTCAGCATCCATTTCATATCATATTCCCTGACATACAGTATATTGCTATTTTGTCATTCAGTAAGACACTACACTAAACTTATGTGCCTCCGAACTGTTGCATGTGATCGTATGTTTATTATTTGGAGAGGCCATTTAAACAATTTAGCTGAATAGACCTTTCGAGGCAGCCCAATATTACAAGATTAATTATGTTCTTTTTGTGTGTTGTGCATTTGTCTGAGCTATTGGAAAACATAGCACCCTAAAGCAGCGGATGATAAATGTCACTCAGCACGTCTAACAAGGCCAAACACTCTGCGGTTTCTCTGCACCATTGACCAAATTTGGAGTGTATTGTGAAATAGCATTAACACCAGCGTCGAGTCCAGATGTCAGGTCTGAAGTGTGCTCAGGAGACTCGCTCACACATGTGCTGTCAGAGAAAATCTCACACATGGGAAAATGGGGTCTCCGAGTGTCAACATTTCAGCTCTTTTGTTTGAGGGTTATGTACTTTTGAGGTCATATATTAGATTTGGACTGCCTGTTGTGTTATGGTGCCACACATTGTATTAGTGGCTCATAGAGCTACACAGGAGGAATATTAGAGGCATTCTTGGTGTCTTAGAAAATGTCTGAGCAAAATTAAGCTTGAGCTTATATTACTTTACATGAAAAGTGGGCTTTGTGCGAAAATGTGGAAAAATTAACCAATTAATTAAAGTTGTGTGACACTTGCTTGGGATCCAGAAGAATACACACTTTTTCAATACTTTGTGAACATGTGAGTCTGGTCATCGCTGAATTTCTCCTTTTTCATGTGGGTGTGATTGACAGGTGGATTAGCCAATCAAGGACATGCATGGTCTGTCTATATTGAGAAAAATAAAGGAAAAAACATCACAGGAGACATTGTGAACTTCTACAGAATCAATGAGCAAAGCATTAAACTCTGTTCATCTGAGGTGAGATACGATCACATTTTGCAGGGCATGGGGACCAGGCTGATATAATTTTGTATAAAAAATACAGAGTATGCAAAACAAATCTGAATCTTGATGAAACACTTTAACTAGTATTTGTTTAGTTTTTAGGACCAGGCTGTTTGAATATTTTAAAATGTGTAAATAATATTTCAAACAGAATTACTATTTGAAGAGAATTTTTATATTACAGTTTAAAAGTCTATACTAGTCACACAATATCTCCCTTTTGAAACATTTTGCTTATTAAATTGAAATACAAGATGACATTTGGGTCATATGGGAAAATATAGAAAAAATGTACAAATAATCACTCACATTCTTTCAGTGCGGAACACAGAAGCAACAATGTCCATAAATACTGTGCATGTGTTTCAGCTTAACCTTTTGACATTTTGAGGACTTTTGACCCTCCATAAGATTGAGAATTGAGTTTAGAATTGCTAATTGTTATGGCAACGGTCCTAATTTCTCATCACTCTAAAACCCATAAAGCCGGAGTACCCAATAACACAAACCTGGCCACCATGCTGTTCTCACCCCAGCTGAACTATGGACACTCACAAGGCCAGCAGAGGAAATATCTGTTGGAAATATGGCAGTGGTCCTTCTCTTTACAGCCTTGTAAAATGTGCCAGTGAATTGTTCTGCCAAGACCAAGTGGACCAACAACTCATCTCAACAACTTTCCCCTAAAGACGGACCATAAATCACCAATGTTCTGCACTAAACAGCATGAGCACTTATGCACGCCTATTGCTATTGTCCACTTATCCTCTGATCTTCAGCCCATGTGCAATAATGAGGTCAGTAGTAGTAGTAGTAGTAGTAGTAGTAATAGTAGCAGTAATAGTAATGGTAGTCACACTTTAAGACCCACTGTTATTCTCTGACTTTTAACACCGCGTTGGTTAAGTTGTGTGGTCCTCTGTGTCTTTTATTTATTATTATTTATTGCCATTTAATGATTTTATGGTTTTGCTTTTATTTGCTTTTATACTGGATTAATTGTTTTTATGACTGACTGGTATGATCACATTTTTAGCAATTTACCTGTTGTTTTCTTTTAATGGTCTTTCAGCAGCACTTTGGAAACGGCTTTGTTTGTAAAATGTGTTATAAATAAAGTGGATTTGGATTTAGATTTTTTTTTCTGCATTACTCATTCATTCCATGCTCAGTTGTGGTGAGCTACTAGTGTAGCCACAGCTGCCATGAGACAGACTGACAGAAGCAAGGCTGCCAATCTGCGGCATTAGCCCTCCCCCAACCACCAGCATCACCCACACACCACTGTCATACTAGGCAATGTGGATGAAGTGTCTTTCCTAAGGACCCAACAACAGTTTTGCGCCCCACTGTGGCACCTGATATTCCCGGTCATGTCCCATCAAGTACTAACCAGACCCAACCCTGCTCAGCCTGTGAGATCTGACAAGATCAGGCTTTGATAAGGAGGTTTAGCCACAAAGTAATGGTGATAGTGGTAGTAGTAGTAGTAGTAGTCGTAGTGGTGGTGGTGTGGTGGTGTGGTGGTGGTTGAGCTAGTAGCTTTGGCTGTAGAAAAAAGTCCCAAAAGTCAAATGTCCAGTAGGTCAGGTTGTTTGTATAATTTATTATTTGTAAGAATATGCAGACAATATTAATTAAAACTATCAATTCCAATACATTTATGTCTGTGAAATGCTGTGTGGAAGTAAAAATACTTTTACTTGAGTCCAAATTTTGACCACCTCTGTAGACCATCATTTGTGGTAATTAAGCTTTCTTTGCAGCGGGCTGATCTTGGCTTATTTCATTTTTCAGATCATTTAAACTAACCCTAACACATGTAATGAACTGGAATGTGGACGGCTTTTTCATAATTTGTGGTTTTGAAGCTTCACACTGACTTCATGTTCTCGTTTCTTGACTCTGGCTTGAGTTCGCACAGACTTTGAGTTTTTCCTGAATTTGAAAACAGAAATCTAACTCCATAATGAGTCTCTGTCCAGGGCATCAGGAGGAATGTGAGAATGTGAGACCCTTTATTTTCCCAGGCAGAGGGGTAGAGCAACCAAAAAGTGGTATTACAAATAATACTGTTTATAAAGGTGCACTATGTAACTATTCTAATAAAGGGTCCACCATCTTTTTGTCACCACAAAGATGTTACTGCATTGCCTGGAAGGTTCCATACTATGGCATTAAACATGTAACTCTAAGCAGGTGATGCCTTCAGGGCAAGTTACAGGTCATGTCTGTGGAGAGGCATGTTTATTTGTATGTTAAAGTTATGAAACATAACATAAACATAAACTTAGACTTAGATAAACTTTATTGATCCTCAAGGGAAATTACTGGGACACAGTTGTTGCTCACACATCACAATATATTATAATAAAAAATAAAATAAAATAAAAAACCAGGCAGATCAAAAGGTACTTTGAATTGTATTGAAGAGAAATGTCTTATTTTGACATGTACTGATTCTCTTATTATTTTTAGTTCTAATTTCGTAACCTGAACACTCACAACTATCAATTAACCTCATAAACTTAACATTCCCTGTTACTTCAAAATAAAATGGCTTCAGTAGAAAGAGTCTGTGATGTGATAATATCTGTGTTCCCCACTCTAATGCCTTTCCTCTGTGCCTGAGTGGAGTGTGTATGTCGTAATGCTGGAGATTGTGTTTCAAAATATCTCGCAGGCTGTGGAGCTGTAACCATGCAACAGGCTGCTAACAGAACATGAACCGCCAGAGCTTTTTCTCATTAGCCACACTCAAGAAAGGAGAGAAAATGGAGACAAATTTTGTTTTTTATGCCATGTCCCAAGCCAAGAATAAAGGGTTCATTGCACAGTATGTTAGCTGTCAGTAAATGCTAGTGGGATATTATTTGGTTTATCCAGAATTTTGTTTTTTCCAAGTCACAATATTATATCGAATTGTAAGAGCTATAACATTATAAATGTACATTTTTCAGTGTTGTTTCATAACAATAACTTGATATAATTTGATGTAGTGACCTTTGAGGTGGTAAAAAAAAAAAAATCCATTATTTTCTGCTATCTAAACAGTAAAACATGCCACTACTTCAGCTCATTTTATATGCATGTTAAAAACTAAGGCTGTCCAGTGTATCCACGTTTTATGTTTTGTTGTCTAATAAAATCAAGCCAGGAGACAACTATTTTTCTTTTTACAAATGGCAACTTGAGTGGCCAACTTTCGAAACTGATTTTCACTCATAAAAATGTAGGCCGTAAAAACAATGCACTTTGCCAATCAGCATCTGTTTTGCATCATATTCTGGCTTTGTCTGTGTGGCAGTGATGAATGAGTATCAGTATTAAAATTTTGATATGTTGAAATCGCTCAAAACTAACAAAAGTAATAATACTCTGTGTGTCTCTATTGCAGTGTCCAGGTCCCAGGTGTCATCGCAGCGCCAGGGCTTAGTTCCGGAGAATGCGACGCGGGTGTCAGAGCGCCCCCTGGTGGTGCAGCAGACGATGGGAGATCCCGCCACAGAGAGCGACCTTCTGGAGAACATCTGGAAACTGGAAAACCTCTTCCAGAACCACAGCGACTGGTTACAGAAGCTGGACATACTCATGAAGGTACAAGCTACAGTAACACACGATTTTGAATGTGATTAGGTAATGATTGGATAAAATCACTGAAATGTGGATATTTTAATGTGTTTGTTGAAACATATGACTATAATAACACTATATAGTAACATATAGTAACACACATAGTACTAATACTAACTACAGTAACACTTTGTTTTAGGGTACACTTATTAACATCTAACTACCTGCTAATTCACATAGTAAGTGGTTAATTTGTCATTAATTAGTATTTATTTAACTCTTATTAATCTCTATCTCCCCAAAAGCTTATTCTGCTTTTAGTTAGACATTTACACTTTCCTATTAATACACTCCTTATTAGTATGATACTAGGTCATTTTTGTATATGAATTATGATTCTAATAAGCTGGTTTTGTTAAGTACTAGTAGCAGAAGAAATTTTGTTTTTAGTTATTTGCACTAAAAGCTTTTTTGAATCATAATTCATGGACAAAAGTATAGTATCATATTAATAAGCAGTAATAAGGAGTGTATTAATAGGAAAGTGTTTGTAAATGTCTAACTAATAGCAGAATATGCTTATGAGGAATTTGACAATAATAAGTGCTGAATAAATACTAATCAATGACAAATTACCCATTTACAATTGTGCTAATTAGTGGGTAGTTAGATATTAAAAAGTGTTACCCTATAATTATAATAAAACTTGATCTGAGATTCATTTTAAGTAAGTTAATCTTTTAGTTTAAAAGTTTAACTTTAAATTAATCTAGTCCAAAATAAGAATGATTTATTGTGTAATTGCTTACTGAATCCTGGATGCCAATTGACACAATACTTGATGTGAAGCTTTTCTTTTTCTTTTTTGCTTTTGTTTGTATAGTCCAAATTGCATCACCAGTTTCCTCAAAGAGCTTTCCAGAAAGAGTTGTATTCAGATTAACCAACAATGACAATTATGCACGATCCATGAAGTAATCTGATTATATAATTTGTCTCTGTTGTGTCCATGCCAGGGCCTGGAGATGGAGCTGAGGAGCATGCAGGCTCACTCCCTTCAGTCAGAGGGTTACCTGGTGCAGCTGGACGACAGGCTGTCCTCTCTGAGTAACTCCGCCGGGCGAAACCTCACCAGTCTGTCTGCCCAAGTGACCCGTGCGTCGTCATGGCTACGAGATCAGGACTCACAACTCAGGTAACAGCTGAGACTTAAAGTGTTTGACTGGTTGGACTACTCATTTTACTAAAACGCAATCAAGATTGTTATATGTAAGATTTTGTTAAAATGCTACAACTTTTTTCCCCCGTTTGGAAACATTTTAGGCTTCAAATTTTACTTCCTGGTTGGAAATTATGACATCACTCTTACTTACCTAGCTACCAAGTTTATACATTGGGCCAAAACTCCTCTAATGTACGCAGAAATTATTATTTGATGAATAAAAATATAAGAAAACACCTTTATTTTGTTGAAATCGTGTTTAAACTATCAGAAAAATGTATTTCGTAATTTCTCTTGTGATTTGTAGATTATGCTACTTTAGTAGCCTGATTCATCAGCTGGTTTCACCTCGTGGAAACTGTCTGACCTCACAGCATTAGCATTCATTTGCTCACGAATCACTGCTATTTGGTCATGATGTATGTAATGCACCGCTAATGGGACTAGCTGGTATATTAAGCTTTTCCCAAGTCCCTTAGGAAGAAGGGCAATAATGTCTTTCCCCTTGATAAAATTCGCTAAACATTCTCTTTGTTCCGGCTTTAAATCCTCAATCTCGGGAATTGTTGCCAACACAGAATGTATGGCTCTTTGCTGATTGGCTGGTGCACGAACTCACACTTCTTGCAAACCGTCTAATGTATTTCGTTTCCTGACCTAGTCGCTGGAGAGAAATGATATCAAGCGGAGGCACTAGGTGGCTCCAGCCTGGCTAGAACTTTAGGAAAGTGTGATGTGACTATTGAACTCTCTTGAATGGAACTCTCTACTTTGTGTAATTTTCAGCATATTTTTTTGTTTTACTTTTCTTTGCAAATTGCTTCTTAATTGGTATTAAACTATAATTTATATTTACAACAGGCATTACCCCACCATTTTAAGTAGAAATTAGAGAGAGAGTCATATGCATGAAAATAAAAAATAAGAGCAAATTATGAAGTGTCTTATGTCTTACAGGGAAACCTCAGGACACATGAGCAGTTTGAGGGAGAAGCTGGATGAGGTGAACTGGATGGTGGGAGCTGTCAATCACACCTTCACCAATGACATCAGCATGCATCACTTAAAGATACAGGACCTGCAGGTAAGTTAGGGAACATTACATTAACACAAGTTTTCTATTGATAGCTCATGCCATTCTAGATCCATTATGTGTGTTACTTGCTTGCAAAAAAAAAGGGGATACACCTGAGTAACAGTTGTTTAGTCTGTGTGTTAATTTTTTTTTTTTAATCATGTTAATGTATGAACAAAATGTATTTACTTAGCTTCACTAGATACTTACAATTGTAGGCAAAAAAAAATGTAGGAATAGAGCTAATGTATTCCTACTATTATCTTATCTATTTGCTTCAATAGTGACATTGTTATATTATCGCTTAGTACATTAGTCCTAGAAGTTTAAATGATTGGATTTTTTAAATTATTTTTGACTAACATAATACATTTTTTTTTAATTGTTGAATTCAAAAAACTCCTTTATTTTTTCTTTTACATTTCCAGGTTCAGATCAGTAACATTACGGAGGACACCAGCAGTTTATGGGTGACTCACGTGCACACAGAGGCCCAGCTCAGAGCGGAGATGGAGATTCTAAACACCATCACCGAGGATCTGCGCCTGAAGGACTGGGAGCACTCCATGGCCTTCAAGAACCTCACTATTCTGGAAGGTTAGCCAAACTCTGCATTCACGCTATTCAAAGCTCCACAGACCTTCACTGTTTAGCATAAGAGCCCTGACTTTGAGACCTGTATTCACGTGGGACATGGCATGTCTCCAGCAGGACCTCCACACACTTGACTCTGGGTCAATTAGGCGCCGAAGGACCACTTAACATTTCAGCTCCACAAGAAATCTCTTCAGTGCAGTCAAAATCTGTGTAGGGCTGTAGCAGGGAGTTTGCAAGATCCCAAATACGTTCCAATACAAGTGTGTTATCATTTTATTTTTTGTTTTATTTTATTTTTATTTAATGAGAAGGTCCCATTGAGATTCAGATTTTTTTCAAGAGAGACCTGGCCAAGATAGCAGCCAACATCAATGAAATCACAAAATATCACATTATTATAAAACAATCTGCATCTCTCACATTTAAGAGGTTTTGGGTCAAATTTGATCCAAGATTGAATATTCAGATTAATAAAGTGCAGATTACTCCCAGTTGTAAACAACTATTTTTTTTACTTCACTTGACATGTTTGACCAGTCTAATAGTAGACAGTTTTGCCCATTTTGCAGTTTTTTTTTTACTTCAGGGCAGCCAACATCATCAGGTTAACTGGTTACTGAAAGTGAATGGTCGCCACTGTACATGTCATAGTAGTATAGTAATATCCTAGGATCTTGGTCCATGTTATGCTGTTTTCTGATCTATGTTTTGATCTACACACAAACACTGCGTATTTAAGCTGAGTTCTTCTCTCAAACTGAAAACTCTCTGTTCCACCTTGTGATGTCATGTCGTAATACAGGAAGCGTTCAACTGTTAACTTGAAAACGACCTTTAACTTCTTGGGTTCAGTAAAGTGTATTTAAAAGAGCCCAAGAAGTTAAAGTACATAAAAAGACAAGATGAACATCTTTGGCTTGAAAACGACCTCTTCATAGCATCACAAGTTGGAACAGAGCATTTTGAGCTTTGGAAATGTAGACAGACTAATAATAAAGGATTACCCAAACTTGTGGGCTTGTAACAAAACACAGCTCTAGGTATTTGGTGAAGTAACAACATTCTAACATGGCTTAAAGCTCAGAAAAGTCAATTTGGCCTAATATAAGACCTTTTAAGGATAAAGTTACTGGCAAAAGTTTCAGGTTAGGCGCCAAGACCCTTCACACGAACAAGTGTAAAATGAAATTATTGAGTTTGCACCAGTTGTTTATAGAAACGGTTGAAGAAAAAATATCATCATTATTGGAAGGATAAATGTTATGCCAACAGCCAAACAAAATCATGCTTATCTGTTATAAGTCATTGTTAGTGAGGGACATTTTGCCCAGTACAAATTTGAAAAACAAGAAAAATCGGCGTGAACATGATGAGCTCATGGGAACCTTCTGAACACAGTGCGTCTGGGTATAAAAACTGTAACCGTTCTTCTGCTACGGTTCACCTATAAGTCATTAGTGTGATTGAGTTCTTCTGACCCTCACATGCTAACACTAGGATTTTTTCCCTGAGGTCCTAAACATATCCAAATGTCTATTCTCCAGTCTGTACAGTCCTGATTAGCTCTGACATGGTATGCCTCTTCCCGCTGCGCTACAATACGACTCTCCTAAAATTCGAATGGTAGTGCTATGACGCCATTCTGGTATGGGACGGGCCCGATGGCTGACTGATGGAGATCTAAAGGGCCCCAGATCTTGTGCCTGTGTAACATGTGGGTGGGATAGATGGTGCCTGGAAACAATTGTGGGGTAAATTTAGGTCCAAAAAGAAAACTCAAGTACTCAGCTTTGTCATTAGCTGGAGCTTGTTTGTTGTTAGCTGATGATCACCTCTGCCAAGAAAAGTTTTACATCTCCATCCATGTTTAAAATCCTCCTCTCTTGTTTTGTTCAGTTTGGCTGTAATTTGCCTCTGACTCACACCAATCTTGTTCTTATGGTTCTTGCCCAGAGCCTTAGTGTTGTCCTTTTAGATCTCAAAGTACAATAACTTAGTATAAGACATTAAAACAAACTTAACTTAAAGTTCATATGAGACCATTTGTTTTCACACCTGACTTCTCCCGGCTGATTTCAGGAATTCAAATTATCTTTTCAAACTGTCAAATGAGTGGCTTGTGTTGCAAAAGACACATCAGGTTTAGGATCATTAAGCGTCTCCACTCAATAATAACTATATTTATTTATAATTTATTTGTGTTAAATTGTTCAAAGTCGCTTTATTTATACTTTGCACCTGAAGGTTCTGCTCTGTCAGAAGCTCTGTTACTCAAGTTAGTCTTTAATCTGACATTTATTTTAACACAGCCTGACCAGAAAGAGCAAATTTGGTTGGAACTCTATCAGGTGATATGATTTGTCTGTTTGACATAAAATTACAATCAGAAGTTAGCATTAGTCAACACTTTTTTAGTTAGTCACTCTCACCTTTTTGTTGAAAACCAAACTAAACCGGACCACAAATGCTCATATTGATCAAAGGCTCCTGAAAATGTACTGGTTTAATCTTTTATATTTTTTCCCTTTTTTTAATCTTAAAATGTTTTGGTCTGTGTTTGCTGATTTGTGCATTGTGTCCCCATGTTAACCTCTGAACATTCTGCCAATAGAGATTAATTTATGGATATTAATGTCAAAATATCCATAAATTCAAGTTGTTAATATAAACATATGGTCTGGTCACAGTATATAGAAAGTGGGTTTTAATATTAGAACAATACTGCCTTCTGTAGTGCTGGTTTATGTTTGTTGTTTCCTTACCATTGCTGGTATGTGCTGTCCGTTACCATTGTTGATATCCTTATACAGTTCTGTTACCAAACTAAAACAGTGACTCTTCGTCCACACTTGTAAATAGTTCATAGTTCATAGTTTAATGTAAAATGTCTGAAAAATTCTAAATAAAGCTCTTTGTGTTAGATTAGAAGAGGGGGGTGGGATAAAATACATTTTCTTCTTCCCACTCCTTTTGGGGCCAGTTTTAGATTTTTTGTTGTTGTTATTTCTGCTATGATTTCATTAATGTTATATGTTCCATTGTAAAAGAATGTAAATATCTTACTTGCCCAAAATAAATACATAAATCAAATCAAATCATGTAGAACACCCGAGAGTGAGGCCAATCTTACCATATTCATACACAGGAAAAGTATTTGAAGCATTGATGAGAGTGTGCTGTGGTTGGAGACTCAGAGTTACGATTAACAATAATAATTTAGTTTTAATTATATTGTGTTGGTCCACAGCAGAACATACTGAAGCTGTAGGGGTAACTCAATCTCTTTAGTTGTGACCATGCGCCAGGACTCCACTCACTGTACAAATATCCCCTCATCCAGTATAAGTCCCTTTGTCATAAGGCCTCCAGGCTTTTCTTTGAGCCGATGACAAGGTGCCACAGTGGATTATGGAGTGTGATCTGAATCTGCATTTTTCTCTCCAACAATTGTGACATATAAGAGTTTTGTTGAGTGACTTGAACAGAGCACAAGTCTGGAAGCATTTACCCCCTCAGTGTCGCCCCCTGATGACCGTTAATATGTGCTTTTGACTGGCATGTTTGCTTTAAAGTGAGAAGGCTAATGGCTCTGTCACAGCTAACAGTCACTAACATTGAGTGAATATGAAATGTGAGCAAGAATTTAACCAACTCTGATCGGACTAAAAAAATTTCTGTATTTGTAAGCTATAACCCCATATTGTGGATGTATTATTTTACTCTTTTCTAAGACATTTAGACATACAGGGGTGCGTTCACACTTGTCCTGGCTTGGTCCTGGATGGAGCCTAATTTAGTCCCAATGTAGACTTGGTTTGGCCCTGTTTTAGTCATGGATTAGTCTTGGTCTTGCCCAGGTTTAGATCCAGGTTTAGTCTCACTTTTTCCAAGTTGATGTTGCTTAGTTAAGTTCTTATGCTTGTAAGCTTGTACGTATAAATAACATACACAAAAAGGACATCAGGTTTAACAAAATATACAATATAAAATATACATTACAGCTTACTAAAAATATATGGTAACATATATATATACACACACACACACACACACATATATATATATATATGTGTGTGTGTGTGTGTGTGTGTGTGTGTGTATATACATTATATATATATATATATATATATATATATATATATGTGTATATATATACAGTCCCTGACGAAAGTCTTGTCGCTTATCCATTTTGTAGAAACAAAAGCTTATAACCTGACTTTAAATTAATCGATTGGTTTTAGAAATGTCTCATATGAAAGCTAAAACCCTCCAAAATTATGCTCAATAAAATAAATTTGCTTCACTGAAGAAAGATTGATCATTTAATGAACACAGAAAGGTCAGATTTTGGCAAGACAAAAGTTTTGTCGCCTATAGAAAATTGAACAAATAATTTACGTCAAATACAAAAATATGTTGCATAACGTCAGTGAATTAAGTAGTGGTGCTGTGAGATCCATATTTAATATCTTGTATGACTTCCATGAGCTTGAAGGACTGCATCCATGCGGTTCGACAATGATTCATACAATTTGTTGATGAAGTCATCAGGAATAACAAAGAAAGCAGTCTTACATGCCTCCCAGAGTTCATCAAGATTCTTTGGTTTTGCCTTCCATGCTTCCCCTTTCATTCTACCCCAGACATGCTCAATGATGTTCATGTCTGGTGACTGGGCTGGCCAGTCTTGGAGCACCTTGATCTTCTTCGCCTTGAGAAACTTTGATGTAGAGATAGAAGTATGCGATGGAGCACCATCCTGCTGCAAAATTTGACCCCTTTTATGGTTGGGAATGTAAGAGGTAGCTAATACTTCTTCATATTTTAGGCTATTGATATTGCCTTCCACCCTGCAAATGTCTCGCACACCCCCAGACTGGATGTAACCCCAGACCATGATTTTTCCACCACCAAACTTAACTGTTTTCTGGGTGAATCTTGGATCCATGCGGGCTCCAGTAGGTCTCCTGCAATATTTGCGGCGGCTGTGATGTAATTCAACTGAGGATTCATCTGAGAAATCCACCTTCTGCCACTTTTCCAGTGTCCATCCTTTTAGCAGGCTGTGGGCCTTGGCAAATGCCACACGTTTTTTTAATTGCCTTTTGTTTAGTGCTGGTTTCTGTGCACTGATTCGACCATGGAGGCCATTTCCAGACAGAATTCTACAAACTGTTCTGGTTGACACAGGGACTTGAGGTGACCAGGCCTGGTGGAGCTCTGCTGCAGTGGAAAAGGGGCTGGCCTTGGATTTTCGAATCAACAAACGGTCCTCCTGAGCAGTTGTCTTGCGGGGTCTGCCGGACCTGGCCTTGTCAAAAACATCTCCAGTCATTTCAGATCTTTTTCTTATTCTTTGTACTTGACGCTGAGACACATTGAAGGTGTCAGCCACCTCAGCAGTGGATCTGGTCTTCAGCCTCTTGATAATTAACGCTTTGGTCTCAGGGTGGATCTTAGGCATGTTGTCAGAGGTCAAGTTGCAGTTGATGTGAAGGTCTGGTGTGCTGGGGTTCTTTTTATACACACCCACTAACTGAATGATCAGTAACTGATCACAGGTGAGGCTGTAGTCTAGGATTGGGTGCATCATATGACAAGGTGACAAGACTTTTGTCTTGCCAAAATCTGACCTTTCTGTGTTCATTAAATGATCAATCTTTCTTCAGTGAAGCAAATTTATTTTAGTATATTGAGCATAATTTGGGAGGGTTTTAGCTTTCATATGAGACATTTCTAAAACCAATCGATTAATTTAAAGTCAGGTTATAAGCTTTTGTTTCTACAAAATGGATAAGCGACAAGACTTTTGTCAGGGACTGTATATATATATATATATATATATATATATATATATATATATATATATATACACATATATATATATATATATACACATATATATATATATATATATATATATATATATATATATATATATATATATATATATATATATATATATATATATATACACACACACACACAAACATATATAACTTTACAAGGTATTGGCACCAAGGCTATAGAAATCCATTTGATACTCAGTATATTGTCCAGTGTACTTTGATTTCAGTTTGACATTGTTCTGCAGTACAGATTGCCAATGCTACCAGCAAATAGTGAAAAATATTTATACTTGAAAGATGCTTCCAATCAAGTCTGATATAAAATCTTTATAAATCCTAGCATTAGACTCTGAGTGCTCCTTTGTAAGCATTACAGTGTTGGTAAATGTTTTGTGAAAAGCTCTGTTGGAACATCCCTGTAATGTTGTCTTGCGTGTGAGCGGGGAAACACTTACAATAGAAGCCTTCACAAATGGAAATCACTTCATCTGCTAAGGATTGTATCTCAAACCCTTTATCAAAACAAATGGTTTACAAACTCAAAGCCTGCTTTAGTTCATTGTCTTCTGTTTAAACCCATTTTCTGACTTCACTTTTGTCCAGATGGTCCAGGTTACCATGATCTGTATCCTCACATGACAGTAACTCTGAGATTAGCTTGTATCATTTGTCATGTTTATGATTTTTTTTTAAATGCATTGGCCTTCAACTTTGTAACTCATCCATATAAGTTTGACATATACAGAAGATAGTATTGTGAATACTAGAGGCTTGGTCTGTTTCCACTGCAGTTGTGTTTTTCAATGGAGATTCCCAAAACAATGTTGTCTTATTATTGTTATTGTTGAAATATTGTCAGACTCCACACAGCTTTCTGTCAAATAAAACTAACTCATAACATAAACTAGTTAGCTGTACGGGCACCAGTGTTGACAGACTTTTCCTGATCAAAAACAGTTCAGAATCAGGAAACCCACCTCATCTGAACATGATAGGGCCTTGTCATACTAAAATTGCTTTTTTAGTGAATATGTAATGTCTCCAGTATATGATATGGTGCGTTCCCATCATATCGCTTTCTAAATAAGAGAATGATGTCGTGTTTTGGCCCTGTAATAACACTAATTCAAACCAGGCTGAATAAGGTGGATTTCCCCCTTTCTTTCTCCAAGCACTGTAGAAGTTAGAACATTGCATAATGTAGATCCAGACAGGACAAACATGGGGGCAGTAACAGCAAAGAATAAGTAACATGATAAGGTGATGCAAATTTAATGAGGAGATTAAGTTTGTTTATTTAAATAAACTTAGCTATTATTAAAAGCACTGTAGCTGAGTTTTGCTAAGTGAAAAATGTCTCAAACAGAACTAGTTTGCTGTAGTCCAAAGTTATTCTTCACTTATCTTTCACATCCTAATATTCACCACAATTAGTTTATCAGCACTTGTTTTGATTGGGTCACGTTGGGGTAAGCTTAGCTCATGATTTCCTTCTGTGTCCAGTAGGGTTTTTGTAGCTTTATAATATTTTTGCTTTGCTCAAATAAAAAAAAGTGAATTATTTTTAAGTTTAAGTATAGTGTATAAGAAAAGTATTCAGGACATTAAATTATAATTACTATTTCTACCCCATGGACACTCTAGGCTTACTTCTATGTTGTTCTGTTTCCACTGGCTGCTTGCACCTGGAGTTTAAAATATGTCTGTGGTCCCGCTGTGGAGCATCAGATGAGCTCCATTAGCCCCTGTGGTTTGAGCTGGACAGTATTAAACCCCAGAGTGAAGTTCCCACAGGGCCCATCTATGCAATATGTGCTTTCTATGATCTGTTCTATTCTTTAGCAAACCTGCTCCAAGTCAAACACCACTCTGGAGAGAATCCTGGGCCAATTGTAAGGCCCACTTGAGTTAACTGCCGCCTCATTGGGATTATATGTTTATTGGCAATATAGTCTAATCCAAGCAGAAAATTACCAAGAGAATGGGAGACTGATAAGTGTAAACAGATGCACTGTAAACAATGCAAATTCTCTGTGATGAAACAAATCACTGCAAAGGAAACATAGTAATAAAAACATAAAAACAGCTTTTTTTTTTTAAAATAAGTAATAAACTTTTTTTTATCTGCTAAGTTTTGATTTTACATGATCCTTTACTGTATACTCTCAAACTGTTGCTTGCTATAATAAAGGAAGAAGTATTTGTTGAAATTTTGAGCGCCCTTTCTGTGTCCCATGCATTTTTGTGGTCAGTAAGCATTGCATCACTTCATGTCACCAACATGTTTTTCATTTTTGTGCAGGGCCTCCGGGACCAAAGGGAGAGAAAGGTGATAATGGAGACCAGGGGCCCCCAGGGGCACCCGGACTGAGTGGACACAGAGGTGAGTTCAACAACACAGTTCTGGCGTTCCACAAGAGCAGAAAAATATACATTCAAAGACCATTTCAAACACAGACGCCAGAGCACTGCATCTCACTGTCTGTGTTTGATTTACAGTATCTGAGTTGTAACATGAATGTATCCAAACAATGACTGTCCTTCTGTACCCAGACAAAAGTTCGTATGATTGATTTGTTGGTTACATAATGTTCAACATGTGGAGAGGGATGATTTATGTGTTTTAGAAGAGTTCAAGATGAGATAAAAGTCACTCAACTTTGATTTTTCAAAGATGTTCTTTTTTATTTTTACCTAAAACGATTTGATGACCAATACAGTTACACCAATAAAATAGTCTTCACTCCATTGTCTTGCAACAATCTTGAATGTTTTACTGCTGCTGTTCAGTCTGTTATTTTAGTGATGAGAAATGTTCAGGTCATATGCGATAAATCAACCAACAAGAAAGGATTAGGTGTGTTCGAGATGTTCAGGGAAGTATCATCCATCTATGTCAATTTCCTTCAAAACCACAGCATAAAGCATTCAATCCCAGACCAGTGTAAAATGTGATTCATATGAATCCATATGTCAGGAGTGTGTCAGCCTGGCACCTCCTCTGTCATCCTCTGTACTCCTCTTCAGTCGGCACACTGTAAAATGTTCCCAAGATGTTTCCATGCAGTACTATATTACGTTAGTGTTGAAAAGATCCTCCCTTGTACCAAGCCTCGGTTGTTTATTTATGAATATAGTGAATACAGAAAAGATGATTTTGGAAATAAACAGAAACAGAGCCAACACAAACAATTTATTTAAATGTAATGTGATGCAGGGGGTAAGGCAAAATGAATGAAAATGTCTCAACTTGTTCCAACCGCAAGGAGTACACAATTAAATTTGGTGAAATTGTTATCATCATTATTTGACTTAAAGGTGATCTATGTGACTTTTCTGTTGGAGTGTTTGACACTTGCTTGTCGTCTAGTTGTTATTGTGTTTCCTCGAAAATTTCAAAGTATAGCTTTAGATAAGCAGAGTCTGTCTTTATTAGGGTCAGCTCTAGCTCTAGACATCAAACTCTTGCCCAGCCAATAAAACTTAATACATCTGCCCATCAAAATTCAGCAAGCTAGAAGCCTTGAGTTCCATGTATGCTTACAGTGAGCAGTGTCGCCTCTGCACAGATCAGTCGTGTAATTTGGCATCAACATCTTGGCTCGTGCACCTCCAGAAAAGTTACAAAGTCACTTATTTAGTATGTACAGCCAGATTCTTTTTCTTGGTGCTTTGATTTCCCCTGTCTTCCAAAACATGCATGTTTGGTTAATACTCCAGCTACTCCCGGATGGAAATTCTGCCTTAGTACAGATGTATCCCACAAATCCTCACAGCTTGCTCCAAAACAACTTGTGATGGATGGCTCGAACCTGGAAAACATTTCAATACACTTTATATTTTCAGTACACTTAATATTTTAATATATGTTTTCTGCATATTTTGTTGTCGTTAATTTGCCTCTGTGTTTCTTGATCAGGTGTAACAGGACCCAAAGGGATGCAGGGTGCTCGTGGACTGAAGGGGACAGCAGGGGAGGCTGGGATCCCAGGGGAAAAGGGAGACACAGGACCAGTGGGACCCAAAGGTGAGTCTGATGAACTACAGCAATCCGTATCCTCTGCTCCCTGTGCTGACCCCATTTAAAGGGGTTGTCTAGAGGATTGTTAATAATGTTAGGCTTTTTTTTGCTCATATATGTCTAAAGGAATGCCAATGTTAATTTATTTTCTCAATCACTCGCACACACTTTCATACACAGGCAAGGGCATTGAAGTGGCTTGCCCAAAAATACAAGTATGAACTGTTTGGAGATGGGTAGGGAAAACAAGCTCACTCCAAGTTCCATGTATCATTTAGTACAATTTTCACATATACTACATAAATCTAGTACAATACTGAGATTAAAGCCAGAAATAAACCAGGTCTAGACCAGGACTAAAACAGGAGTAGATCAGAACAAATCCAACTTGTCATAAGGACTATACTGGGCTCAAACCAGAAGTGTGAATGCACTCTATGAAACTTGAAAACTTTGTTATATTTAAAGCTGTACTATGTGGCTTTTCATGTGGAGGGTTGAGCACCTGCTTGTCTCCATGGATATGTTGTACTGTACAGTATATCACCATTAGCCTGTGGATTTGGACGAATTTTCTGTCCGAGCCCTGCCTGCGTCCGACAGAGCACTGATCGAATCCGACCCGAGCTTGATAGGCATTAAGATATCCCGACACAATTAAATTCACCAAATTACTAATGACACACGTCGACTATTGTTTGTGTGGCCTTTAACAGACACAGAGATGCAAAATACAAACTCAGGATATAGAGAAAATAATGACAAGACTTCATTCCTCACCTCTTGTAAAGGGGTAAATTTAAAGTGCAGCATCTCATCCATATTATCCATTGAAATTATCCTCCACAAATAATGACATCCAGTCCACAAAACCATGCTGTTAATCCAGTTTCAAGCCTTAAAAGTAAAAAGGCAAAAGTAGTTCACGTGTATTTGTTTGCATACACACAGCGCACGAATCGAGGTGAAACTGCAGATTAGCGATAGTGACTCCCTGTGTACTGTATTGCCAATCTTTAATGCTTTAAAAATCATGTATCTGAAGTATTGCACCACATTTCACAAATAATAACACAGTTTTGACTTATATCTAAACTAGAAGCGCAGTGCTCTGATCTTTTGTACACTTCAGAGTTTCAAAGCGAGTTGTTTTACCGTAGACAGGAAACAGCTGACGCATTGATGTGTCTGAGTCCGACCCGAGCCCAAACATAAGTTCTAAATATTTGTCCGAAATATTTGTCCCATCAGCCTTTGGTCAGATATCCATGCTCTAATCACCATGAAAACAAGAAGACAGGTTTGAGGTGCAGAGACAACCGTGTTCATAGTTAGAATGCAGGTTTTTTAAGGAATTTAAGCAATAAAAACCTGCTGCATAACTGGAAGATAGATAAGTTTAAAGGCATACTGTGGAACATTCTTGACACAAGTAGGTGCTGAACACCCCATGAGAAATTCTATATAAACCCTTTAAATACTTTTTTATATATCGCATCATCCATTGCTTACAGCTGTACAAGTATAAAACATGGCAAAGAGTCAATTCATTGTCAGCTTTCGGGTCACACTGACATATGCTGTGTTTCTTTAATTTCCTCGGGTCAAAAACATGAACTCTTCCAGTGTGTATAGTGTATAGTGTATATAGTAGTGAGTGTAGTGCATGTTGACATGGGTGAACCGCTGCCAACATAAACATTTGATTGACAGGTGAAGTAACAAGTCTAAATCTCAATGTGAACAAAACACGGATGACCAGGATGTTTTGGCGTCTTCACTCCAGTGCGTTCCAACAATGTGGTGGAGTTGTGGGTTCAGCAGAGCAGTGAAGGGTGAAGAGTTTATGAGATTTCTGAGGGTGTTTTTCTTTTTTTGGTATGAATGAGGCTGTAGAGAGAGCTGGGAGTCTGGGTTCTGACTTGTTTTATCGTCAGGAGGTGCATGAAGTGAGCGGGAGTACAGTTTTCGTCTGAGGTGATCGGGTCAGGATTATTTGTTCAAAGTGAGGTTTGTTTTGTCATAGCCACGTGTTGGCAGAAGAAACAAAAGCTGGGGTTTATTTTGAGTGTGTGAAATGATTAACACAAATGAAATCAGACACGACTCACAGACGAGTTGTGCACCAGCCAGACAACTGCAGGTGTGATTTGAAATATAACATTGTATTTGTTCTGCAGTGATGCTAGGAATAAGTATTGTATCCACATTAAAGAACACACTATTGAGAATTAAAAAAAAAAAATACTAAACTATGAAATACTATACAGTTATTGAAATATGCAAATGTAATAGTTTCTTGTGTTTTATATTGCTTTTGTCTATCTTGTCATCATTTATATTATATTTCACATCCTCTTGTCACCCTCTGGTTTCCATGGAGATGTTATTGCCTATTTGGAATGCTCCACAGTGTTGATTTAAACGAGCAGACTCCATCAGGTCAAGTTGGAGGTCAAAGCTGTGGAGCCCTGCTCACAATGAGTATGCATAGTATGATATTTTTAAGCAAAGAGAATACACTCATACTCTGAAACAATCCATGTTAACTAATAATTAAATAGATGACAAGAAAAAATGACATACCTTTAGAAAGGCCTAAACCCTTAGCCTGATTCATCAGCCAGTTTCACTTCGTAGAAACCGTCTGACCTCATAGCATTGAGCAGAGACACTAAGTGGCACCAGCCTGGCTTCTAAACCTCATCCCTAACCACAAATAATAATAATAATAATTTACACTGTTACACTTTTTAACAGTCTTGAAGACAATCTCTTTTACATGTACATTTTGCTAATATGAACTTAGCTGAACGTACACTTCACATACTCCACAGCAGTGCTTTGAATGAGTACTTCATAGGACTACATTTCCACATCCCACTCTTGTGTATTATTACTCAAAGCATCCCCTGTGGTTTCATTGGGGACCACCAGAGTGTGGAAGGGCCCTGCAGGTTCAAATCAAACGCATGTGTTTTGTGTTGTGGTTGTGCAGTAGCTCACCACTCGCTCTCTCGACGTTTAGCTAAAGATGTGGTCAGTAACACAGCTAGCATTTGACAGCTGGAGGCGTCAGAGCCCAGGGCGTGGTACCATTTTAAATATATCTTCTATATGATGTCTGGAGCTTGGGGAGGGTGTTACTGCTGCACAGAAACGACCCAAATTAAAAGAGGGTGGGTCGGGAGTTAATGTAGGCCGACTGTACACATTATGCAGTTTGCAGTTTGGAGCTCTGTGGTTGAAAATGAACCACAATAAAACTCTAGGAGAAGTAATTGTGAGCAAAGCTTGGAATTTGGAAGACGTAAACAAAAATGCCACTATTGTATAGCTAATGTATGATGCGTTTTATGTTTCAAGGTGACAGAGGTGACCGAGGTTTGAAGGGAGAGAAGGGCGACCGAGGAGACAGAGGAGACACCAAAGGTAAGATTTCAAATTGAACAGAATATATTTTTGTCTGTCTATAAAGTGCTATAAAGGATCATCCACACATTGCAATGACTTGCATTAAATTCCTGCAGACTGACCTTTGTCTTACCACATCTTAACTTTCAATCCAAATCCAAATGTATTTTACAAACAAAGCAGTTTCCAAATTGCTGCACAGAGATCATAAAATGAAGACGACAAAAAGGTAAATTCCTCAAATTTGGTCATACCGGTCATAACACAATAAAACCAGAAAAATAAATATAACAAATAAAAGCAAAACCATAAACCTGTCCCCCCTGGTTTTAAGTCTCGTCTTAGGCACAAGCTTAGCCTGTTTCATCAGCCAGTTTCACTTCATAGAAACTGTCTGACCTTGCAGCATTAGAATTCGTGTGCTTGATGGTACGCGGGTACTTTTTTTCACTTAACCAATCGCTTCTATTTGGTCTTGACGTATGTAATCCTCCGCTAACAGGGCTAACTGGTATATTAAGCTTTTCCCAAATCTCATAGGAAGAAGGGAAATAATGTCTTTCCCCGTGATAAAACTCACCAAACATTCTTTTTATTCCAGCTTTAAATCCTCGATCTTGGGAATTGTTGACAACACAGAATGCATGGCTCCGGTGATTGCCTGGTGCCCGAACTTGCACTTCTGGGGTTTTTGAGAACCGTCTAGAGTATTTCGATTCCTGACCTAGTCGCTGGAGAGAAATTAAATTGAGCAGAGGCACTAGGTGGTTCCAGCCTGGCTACCATGAGCTGGGACAGGGGAGTAAACTTTGCACCATGTCATTGATCTAATATTAAAGGATTCATCTCATAGGTCTCCACAAAGCAAAAGGTCCTCAAGAAGTGACATCTATTCAGATTTTGACCCCACAATATGATGAATAACCATTCACATACAATATAAAGCAAAAATAATCACATAGTCCGTAACAATAAGGTAAGGAAAAGCCAGTGGACCTTCTTGACAAAGCACTGGAGTGAGATCTGATTTCTTGTACACCACAAGAGAATGCAAGTGTGAATAGAAGTAACTCAACTTTTTAAAATTTATATCTGAAAACACTTTTGAATTGCCCCTATAGAATTCTTTATATCCAGGATTGAATGCGGTGGTAAGCTAATGTTATGAAAGCTAACTAAAGTAAAATGTTTGTGTGTGAGATCAATGCTGCGTTACAGTGTAAATTATGCTCCTAATAATTCATATGAAAACTTTCTGAGGTAGACTCCTGTATGTGTCCAGTCCAATATAAGTGTGCTCCATCCAAAACTAACAGGGAGAGACTCAGAAACTCAAATTTACGATGTGATGACTTTATGGGCCCCCGTACTGCAAAGCAACACCTGATGTCCTCTGCACAGCATTATGGAAATTTAAAAAGAACTTTTCCACTATAATATTGTGCTTTGAAAGGACCTCAGAGACAGTAGAGTAATAGTAGTTGTGGTACACGCAGCATTAAAATAATAGCAGTAGTAAGGTAGTCGCAGTGGTATCCTCCATAGGATTTAGAGATGAAGTAGCAGTACTTTAAAGTGAAAACATTGTGTGTCTCTAAATGGCTGAAATAATAGTGAAGTAATATTTTCTACGTGGCAGTAGTTAGTAGTGTACATTATAGTTGTAGTACTTTAAATATTGGTCAGTATTAGTAAGAAAGGCAGTAGTAAAGTAGCTTATTTTCTTCTGTCATGTACTTAATAGACTGTTAGAAACATTTCACATAAAACTTTGACCGAAGGGGTTTAGGGACTTATGCCTGACCCTCAAGAGGTCGAGAACTACAAGCAGACTTGTGGATGTATGCATTAGAGTAGCAGTAAGTATCAGCAAGGAGTTACTGTATTATGAAAACTGTGATTGTGACATGCCTCCCTGCCTCAAGTGGAGGAGTTCAAGTATCTCGGAGTCTTGTTCATGAGTGAGTGGAGGATGGAGCATGAGATTAACAGGCGGATCGGTGCAGCGTCTGCAGTGATACGTCGCTGTATTGTACTGTTGTGGTGAAGAGGGAGCTGAGCTGAAAGGCAAGATTCTCAATTTACCGCTCAAGCTACGTTCCTACCCCCACCTATGGTCATGAACTTTTGGTAATAACCGAAAGGACAAGATCACAGATACAAGCGGCCAAAATGAGTTTCCTCCACAGAGTGGCTGAGCACTCCCTTAGAGAAAGGGTGAGGAGCTCAGAGTAGTAATAGTAGCTGAGGTGGCTGTTCCAGATGCCTCCTGCCTCCCTTGGGAGGTGTTCCGGGCATGTCCCAGCAAAAGGAGGCCCCAGGGAAGATCCAGGACACGCTGGAGGGACCACGTCTCTGGCCTGGGAACGACTTGGGGTCCTCCTGGAAGAGCTGGAGGAAATGTTCTAGGTGAAGGAAGTCTGGGAGTCCCTGCTTAGACTGCTGCTCCTGCGACCCAGCCCCGAATAAGTGAAGGAAAATGGATGGATGGATGGCTTTGACATAGTTTAGTAGTTTTGTTAACTTTTGCAAATGACTTTTAGTGCTAGTAAGTAGTAATAGTAGTGTTTTAAGTAGTATTAACGCTTGTGCAATGCTTTTTTATACATTTTTCTTCTTTGGAGTGAATACATTTACCCACTCAACCAAGTAGCTCCTTCAATTGTGATGCAGCTCTGTTTCAAGATTTCAAGCTTTTTCTTACTATGGACCCTATAGCTGCACTACTGAGGTTTACAAAGACGCATTTCTCTAGTTTATCCAATTCTTTTTTTTTTCTGGATATCATACAGAGACATTTGAATCTTTCTACGTCTAGGTACAGTGGACTTCAAAGCAATATGATGTCTCTTGATGCAAGTGCTTTCAATCAGAGAGAAAAATCACCTTTTAAAGCACAATACATCAGCTATAGCCTTTGTCACGGCTGTCTGCATGCAGACCCCAAACATCTGAATACAGTTTGTGAAGACCTTTTCTCACGTCGCCTACAGGACAGGGGCGTTTGATATTTGATACAGAGTTATCCAGAAGTGTCCCGTCACTCTTGTACTGCCCCATGTGGCCAGACTTAACCCATTCACTTCAAAGGGGAGCAGTGCATACCTGTCCCATCAGTAGACAGGACCAGCGGGATCATCCACACATGTTGGGACATTGGTTGACAGAAAGTGTTACAGAGGAGAGGTAAACATCTCATAGTGGAGGAGTTTAGTGTGTAGGGACCAGGGGTTACAGGTTCGAGTGATTTATGGAGGAAAATCAATCATTCTGCCACATCCTGGTCTGTCTGTACATGCGGAGTTATGTACATTATAGTAGGCAAGAGGATAAATCTTAAAAATAGTAGTATAGTATCATTACCTGATTTCTGGAGTTATCATTTTATTGAAATATCATGTAAACAGTTACATCTGATGTGACTAATGTAATTTCTTTCTGATTGTTCAAAAAGGTGCATGTTTTGAAAAGGAAAATTGTGCAAAAAAGGAAAACTAATGAGGCTAAGACAGCAAAAGAAAGAGAAATGATTGAGTTATTTTAAAATTCATTCTTTCCAAATACAACAATTACTCTAAAAATGTGCAATTTAACTGACAAATGTCACCAGATGTTTTTGCAGAACCACAACAAAAATCTGATTGTTTTATTATGGGTTTATCTGATTATTCTTGTTATCAGTTATTTCTGTAAAGCCCAAAATCAAACCAAAAACAGCTGTCGCATCACAGGGCTTGACAAGATTGTTTGTTTTACCAACAGAAAGTTAGAAAATCAAACAGTGAAACCGTCATTGGTCAAGCAGATTAAAAACAGCAGATTATGTCCCAGGTTTTTGGGTCGATCTGGGTCTTGGTGGGTTTTTCCTGGCTGCCTCAGGGTCGGTACTTTACACGAGAATGCTTGTGGGTAAAAACGACAAAATATTTTATCAGAAGTGCCTTTCGTTTAGACGGTGATGGCATTTTTGGGGCTTACACTGCCCAAGACGCAAAACTCTGGTCAGATCTGCTCACATCGGGTACCTGTTTACATCACTTACATACAGTACACAGAAACCTAGCATGCATACCCAGTCGAAATCCACACACGGTTGCGTCACCGTACACATGCAGATTTCCTCCCGAAAATGCTTGTCTAAACGCCGAATAAAAAATGAAGAAGTCTTTTGCGTCTTCTGTTCAGACAATCATCATATATACATAGCCTTAAAAACAAAGGGCTCCTCCCTGGCCAGGTCAGTGTCTCTGGAAGATATATTTTTCCCCTGTAAATTTCAACCTAAATTGATGTGTTATATTATGTGTGTAGTCTACTCAAGTGACTAGATTAACTGCTGCCCTGACTCCTGCACTGTTATCTTTTGCTAGTTCATGCCAAAGTAAACAGAGGTAATAGATAGCTGATTTGCAGTGAGGAGGACACCCAACAAACCTCCATTTCAAATGAATATATGATGGAGAATTAGTGTTTATATAGGAGTAGTACAGAGTGATGGGACCTATGTGTGCTGTCTCATAAAATACGATCAGACGAGGAGAGCATCATGTTTCACACTTGACTTCAGTAGTGTGTTAGAACATACATAGGCTCATATAAACAGTGTCATATGCAGCAACCTTTAAAGGTGCATTGTATAACTTTTGGTGGAGGGCCCGTGAAATGCTTGTCTCCATGGAGATGCTATTGCTTTGTCTGGAATGTTTCACAGTATAGTATTAAATAGGAATATAACAATAACCAAAATATCGTGATATTGTATCATAAAAAGTCTCACAATAATATTCTGGGATGTAACAATATTTTGAATTACAAGTTCTTTTGCTTAAATGCATGGTTTTATAGTAGCAAAAGCTAATAAACATAGAGAACTACATATCCCATGATTCATTTCAGTGCAGACAACATGAAGAAATATGTTTTTTACTTAAATTCTTGGGATTATGACAGTAATAATTCACACCAAAACTTGTCAAGGTATTTTAAAAGCATAAAAGTGTTCCATCTACAATTATATT